AGCGATCCCTGGGAGGAGCCTGACCCCGTGACTCACTTTGCTGATGGGACCCAACTCTTCCTGGGTGGGCGGGGTGGGGGCGGTCCATGCTGGTGACCACGCCCCTGCTGTCAATCACACTGATCACCTTCTGGAATTCAAGCCTTAAGCCCACTGAGATCAAACCCGGACAAGGATAAAAAATATCACACAGGTCTCAAGCCCAGTTCAGCCTACCAGGCTGCAATAGATGTTTCCATAATGACTCTTAAATTACTAAAATAAATACAGACAACTAAAACCGCTGGATATTATATATTTGTTAGAAATAAATAATAAGAGGACTACAAAAGGTAGAGAGAAAGGAGGCTGGCTGGGCTCCTTGGCACCTGAGGAATGACACAGTGGTGACTTGCTTGAGTTTTCTTCTTGGCCTCACAGATCCTTGACTTGGAGCTAAAGAAGCTGGCAACCCCAAAAGCCCCCAACAAAAGCTGTAACCAAAGGACCAGGAAAGGGGCAGCCTCACAAGACAGGAAACTCTCAGACAATAGCTGCTTGGCTCCAGGCAAATGCCCCAGAAAACAGTGACTTCACCCCCTCGCATGCCAGCAAAGGCCACGTGCAGAGCTGAGGTTCTGCCCTCCTCCCCAGGATGTGACAAGGCACCATCACATGTCAGCATGGGGATCCAGAACTCCCACCCCTGTCCTCTGACCGGAGCAAGGTCAGAAGAAACCAGATAAGAGGTTTGATTAAGTCTAGAGTCTCCTAACTTAATACCCAAGTTGTCCAGGTTTCACCTGAAAATTTGTCATACCAAAACCCAGAAAAATCTCAGTTGAATGAAAAAAAGACAACAAATGCCAATACTGAGATGACAAGAATGTGGCTGTTATCTAAGATTTTAAGGCAGCCAACACAAAAATGCTTTGAAGAACAATTAGGAACACACTTGAAACAAATGAAAGCATAGATCTCGGCAAAGAAATGGAAGATATAACAAAGAACCAAACAAAAACGTAAGAGTTAGATTAAAAACTCCATGGAGAGGCTCAATAGCAGAACAGAGGGAATGAACGAAGGAGCCCGTGTAGTTGGCGATAGAACAATAGAAATGATCCGGTCTGAGCCACAGAGAGAAAAAGGACTGAAAAAGAATGAGCTGAGCTCCACACGTCCTCAGAGTCCAGAAAGCAGCAAGAAAAAGGGCAGGGCTGAAAAAGTGCCTGAGGGAATAACTGCTGGAAACTTCCCGTGCACTCCTGATGAGAATGTGAAGTGGTACGGCCTCTCTGGAAAATAGTTTAACAGCGTTTAAAAAAACTAAATACACAGCTACCCTGCAGCCCATCAGCGGTACTCTCAGGCAGTTATCCCAGAGAAACGAAAACTATGTCCACACAAAAACCGGTACACAGGAAGCTTTGTGCATAATGGCCAGTAACAGGAAACAACCCGAAGTCCTTCGGTGGGTAAATGGGGACGCTCGCTGGTGCGCCCACACTATGGAATACTAGCCAGCCGTGAAAAGGGGTGAACTGTTGATACACACAACCACCTGGACGTATCTCCAGGAATGATATGCTGAGTGAGAAAAGTCAATCCCAATGGGTTACATAGTGTATGGTTCCCTATCTGTAACACTCTTGAGATGACAAAATTATAGGAATGGAGACTAGATTCGTTGTGCCCAGGGGCTAAGGAGCAGCTGGTGGGAGGGAAGTGGGTGTGACTATTAAATGGGAATATGAACAATCTTGGCGGTGATGGGAATATTCTGTATCTTGACTATATCAATATCAAAATCCTGGTTGTGATCTTGTGCTATAGTTTTGCAAGATGTTACCATGGAAGGAAACTGGGTAGAGGATACAAAAGACCTCTCTGTAATATTTCTTAGAACTGCATGTGAATCTATAATTACCTCACACTAAAAAGTTTAGAAAAATAAATTCACATTCATTTCGAAAACTCCTGTTAACATCTTGGTGTGTATCCTTCCAGGTTTTTCTATGCATATAAATACTTGCCTTAAAAAATATCACTGTGCTGCACGTATTACATACAACACATGTTTTCTTCCATCAGCAAGACTGAACTCTTTCACCGTGTTCTCAGTTGCTCCACATTCAGGTTTTTGCAGTTATAAACATTGCCATTATGAATGTCCTTGTACCTACATCCCTGTGCACGTCTTTCATTGCTTCTTTTGTAAATCCTCACAAATGAAATTGCAAGGCTCAGTGGTTTGCCTGTTTTAAAGGCTCTTGTAACAAATTGTCAAATTTCCATCCAGAGACCTACAAATTTCTACTTCTATACAGTAGTCCCTCTTATCCACGGTTTTGCTTTCTGTGGTTTCAGTTATCCATGGGTAACCGTGGTCTGAAAATCTAAATGGAAAATTCCAGAAATAAACAATTCTTAAGTTTTAAATTGCACCCCATTCTGAGTAGCATGACGAAATCTCGCACCATACCTACCACTCCATCCTGCCCTGGATGAATCACCCCTTTGGTCAGCGGCTCCACGCTGTATATGCACCCCCTCCCCCCACCACCTAGTCACTTAGTAGCCGTCTTGGTTATCAGATTGACTGTCCCAGTGTTGCAGAACTTGTCGTGTTCAGGTAACCCTTATTTTACTTAATAATGGCCCAAAGCACAAGAGTAGTACTGCTGGCACATTGCATATGTCACGGAGAAGCCGGAAGGGACTTCTTCTAAATGAAAAGGTTGTATTGGGTTGGCCAAAACTTCATTTGTTTTTTTGTTCCCATACGAGGCCTCTAAGTAGTGCTTTGCTGTCTTTTACTTCATTCAAAACACTTTTGTTAGATTATATTGTGACAGCTGTCATATCAGCATCCATTTAAAAAAAAATCACAATTGAATTTTTGTGTAGCCATTTTAATATTGGAGATGGACAGAAATACACAACATTTTTGGCATATTATGCTTCATTATTTCTAGAATGGTGAAAGCACAACTGAAAGAAAGAAAAAGATTTGTGCAGTGTATGGAGAAAGTTCTATGACTGATCAAACGTGTCAAAAGTGCCTTGCAAAGTTTCATGCTGGAGATTTCTCCCTGGACAGTTCTCCCTAGTCTGATTGACAGTTGATATTGATAATGGTCAAATCAAGATATTAATTAATAACAATCAACGTTATACCATGTGGGAGATAAGCAACGTGCTCAAAATATCCAAATTAATAAAGTTATTGGTGAAAATGAAAAAATGTGCCTTTTATTTTACAGAAAAAAACCATGCAGTCCTCTTGGCCGACTCAATACGTATAGAAGGAAAGAAAACATATGTATGGTTCAGGCAGCCACTGGGGGTCCTGGAATGTATACCCCTGTGGGTGGGAGGACCACTGTATACAATATATTGTCAGTTACCATTTGTGTGGAAACAAAATGAACGCCATACACCTGTCTCTCACTTAACAGCTAATTTCCCCTGAGAACCCTGCCACTTAGGGAAAGCTGTTCAAAAAAAAAAAAGTTTTCATTCATTTTAATGGGAAAATGATATGTTAAACCCCAACCTAAGGCACCCCCTTCACAGATACAAAATTATCTGTGAAGCGATACACAGATACAAAATTATCAAATGAACCTTAAACTGAGTTTATAGCAGTAATAATTTTGAAGGAAATAAATAAATTTGTTCATAAAACAATGTAAGAAAGGCCGGTTGTACTCGCCAGAGAGAATGGGTCATGGAGGAGGATGGTGTGGGCCTCATTTTTTAGAAGGTGAAGTCTTTCTGTAAACTTTTTTCTCCGGCTTTACAACTTTGGAGGGGCTCGTGGTTGCCTTGTTCTCTGCCTGCACTTCAAATGAAGTCTGGTGACGCTGTGAGGATGGAATGGAGGCGGAGCACAGGGGGCATGCGGTGACAGCAGAGCCGCCGCACCCCAGACTGAAGGGCGGTCGGGCTGCGCCCCCCGCCAGCTCGCTTGCCTTCAATCCACAAATCAAAACATTCGGTTTCCCCCATGGTGCACACCTCAGATTTGTTCCATATCCTATGCTCTGCTTAGAAAGTGTTGTGTCACATAAATCGGTGGACCTGACTTCGCCCAACACCCTTATGCTAAGTATCGCTTCTATGTTCGTCAGCTCAGGTTGCCATCATAATATACCACTGACTGGGGGACTTAACAACAGAAACTTATTTTCTCACAGTTCTGGAGGCTGGAGGTCCAGGGTCAAGGTGGCGGCAGGTTTGGTTTCTTCTGAAACCTCTCCCCTTGGCTTGCAGACAGCCGCCTTCCCACTGTGTCCTCATGTGGCCTTTCTTCTGTGCATGAGTACGTCTGTCCTAATGTCCTCTTATGAAGTCACCAGTCATATTGGATTGGGCTCCACCCTAACGGCCTCATTTTAACTTAATCTTCTTTTTAAAGGCGGCATCTCCAAATACAGTCACTTTCTAAGGTTCTGGGGGTTGGGACTTCAACACATGAATTGGGGTGGGGGGACACAACTCAGCTCGTAACAACTTCTTAGAGCATATTTTATGGTTGGGTTTGGGGGTGAAAGTGTCAATGTATTAGAAAAAGGTGGTTTAACAAATGATACAGCTTTTCAAGAGCGATTGTGGTCAAAAGTCATTACCAGGATTGTTGTTACTGGATGCAGGTCTGTGTGTATACTTTTGCTGGAACGTGCATCAAAGCCATTGAGAAGAGTCACAAAATGGTAACAGTTGCTTCAAGAGGACATGACGAGTGGCTGCAGATAGAGTTAGAAGGACTCCCTTGCGTACTGTGACATTTTAAGGCAGGGGCTGATTTAAACCCTACGTAGTCTCAGGGACCTGTTGTCTCATTCTCTGCTGGACCTCCAGGCTCTGCCCCCGAGCTCCGCACACAGGAGGCGTTCAGTAAGGGTGCAGAAGGGATGAATAAATGAGCAACTCAGCGCATTCCCTGTGCAGTGTTTGGACGCAGGGACCCTGAGCAGCAAACCCGGTCACCCTCTCTGTCTGTCCCCTTTGGTTTGCAGGCGGCAGCAGAGACCTCCAGGAGGGAACAAGCCCCAGCAGCACGGTGACCACCCGCCAGGCAGTGCCAAACACAGCAGGGACCACCAGAAATCCTACCAGGGGGGCTCGGTGCCCCACCCCTCAGGGAGGCCCACCCATCACGGCTACAGCCAGAACCGGCGCTGGCACCACAGCAACATGAAGCACCTGCCCGGCGACAAGGGGGAGGCAGGCGCCCACCGCAATGCCAAAGAGGCCGTGGCCATGGAGAGCCCCAAACTTGAGGATGCCCTGGGGGACACTGGGCACAGTGGCCTTGAGGCCCCCCGCAGCCCCGATGGCCCAGCCCTGGCGGCTTCTGAGAGGCTGCCCATGCAGCAGCCAGGAGCCCCAGAGGCTGAGGCAAAGCGTAAAGACAGTATTATCCCCGAGCGCATAGGGGAGCGGCCCAAAATTACCCTGCTCCAGTCTTCCAAAGACAGGCTGCGGCGGAGGCTGAAAGAAAAGGTACCGGTAATTGAATTTTTGTTGTTCTCTTACACCAGGGAGGACGGCCTGAGGTAGGCACGTTGGCAGGTGGGCTCGGTTTAAGGGGCTGGGGAGCCCTATGGCATCAGCAGGAGCCAACCACTGCCTTGGGGAGCCCTGGCCACCAGAGGGCTGGCTCGTGGCCAGCTCTGCGTGAACCCCTCCAGCGCATGCCGACTGCTCACCTTCTGGCCCCTCAAGAGGCCCAAGTGGGCATGTGGTCCAGCCCGCTGCCTAAGGCAGGAGGGGAGGAAGAGGCTCAGGCCTGCGGGCTGGGCGATGGGAGGGTGTAGGGAAGGCTTACTGCGTCCCTCCAGCATTTCCTGGGGTCAGGTACTGCCCAGTTCATGGTAAACTGGGGGGAAACGTGGTCTTGTGAGATAAGAACTAATGCTTCTCCCGGGGTGAGTGCCAGCCAGGCCGTGGTCCCTGCCAGGGTTGAGAACACAGGTGAGTCGGGCAGAGCGAGAATCGGCCTCAGCCCTGCTGTTCCCCGCGCGCCCGCCCACCAGCGGCCAGCGAAGGGTGTACGGGACAAGATTTAAGGAGGTCCTCACTCCCAGCATCACCCGAGCTTGGTTCACAAATTAGAGGGAGACACCCCACGCCTCCAAAGGAGTGACGGGGACCTGTCCCTGGCAGCAGTAAGTTCACTGTGCCCACCCCAGAGCCGTGCCCCAGCCAAGGGGGCAGGTAAGGTCACCGTGGAAAGGAGCTATTCCCAAGAAGGGCTGCACGAGGGTCCCCCTTCTGGGGTTGCTGGGGAGCTCCCAGCTCTGAGCGTCTCCCTGGCCTCTCTCCACTGCCTTCGCTCCTCCACCATGCACCCCAGAGGCCAGGCCCAGGTCCACTCTCAGGCAGAACAGGCAGGTCAGACCTCTCCCAATCAAGCCTTGGATCGGAGATGCTGCTCCCAGCATCCTCCAACGCACCGCACCCTGCGGGGCCAGCAGCTGTGAGGTCCTGCAGGGAAGCCTCACTCGTTCCCCTGTGTCCCAAAGCAAGGAGCCTGATGACCAGTGGGCAGTCGTCACTGAACAGCTTCCGGGACAGATTGCTGCAACCCAGCCAGGGAGAGAGGACTAGTCACGAAGTGCCCTCGGGTCTACAAAGTCTAACTGCAGTACCGCCGAGCGGAAATAACTTGGGCTGCACCAGGCTCAGCCTTCAGTCTGCCTTTGACTGGCTTGGTAACCTTGGGCAAGTCACCTAACCTCTCTGAGCCTGTTGACTTGTCTGTAAAATGGGTGTAATGTTACCCACCTTGCAGGCAGACTGTGAAGATTAAGTGTCATAACATGTAAAGGCCCTGATGTGAGGTTATCATTCCACACACCACGATTGCTGCCCTGGGACCCAGATAGTCAGGTAGTAGGAGATCTTCTAGTATAACCTCCTCATGTTACCAGTGAGGAAGCTGAGGCCTGGAGAGGGAAACCACTTCCCAAAGCCATAAGGCTAGAGGCAGGGAGCAGGTTCTAGAACCTCTGCCTGTTCCTCCCAGCCCAGAGATCTCCCTGCTGAGAACAGAAGGGCAGGTGCGGGAGGGACCTCCCTCCCCTTGCCCCCCACCCTGCCCTCACATCCCAGCAGATAGGTCAGTCATAGCCTCGGCTCCCAGCCTGGTGTGTCTGAGTAAATACTTCTGAGACTGTCAGATGCAGTTTTCTTCTTCCTCCAGCCTGGCTCTGGTGCCCTGGCCTTGAAACCTCAGAAGGGGTGGGGCTTTCTGTCTGAAATTTCTCCCCTAGAAGTGCCGGTCATTTTAGTGACACACTGGAGGGTTCTTTGGTGTGTAGTGTTTGTGGGGAGAAGGCCAGCTCGGTCTCCACAGGACACAAAGCCAGGGCCGTGTCCACAGGGATCCTGGTGTCCAGAGAACACAACCGCCCTTGGGCTGTAGGAACCGGGAGCTCCTCCGTGGGCACTTCTGACCACACAGCAAGCATTTTGGACGCCGCCTTCCTTCCTGGCCCAGTCTTCCTGCCCTCATTCTCTCTTTGGCCCAATTTTTTATTTGTTATCTTATTTCATCTTTTATAAGCCCTATTAAATCATTTCTGGATTGAGACCTTTGATGGACAAATAGCCAAACAGAACCAATGTGAATGAGAATCCTGGGTAAGAGGTAGAGCTCACTAGAAGGCTCAGCTCAGGATGTCACAGGGGCCGAGGACAAGGTCAGCAGAGAGCCATGGGGCCTGAGGGTCCTTGCTGGAGGTCAGCATTCCCGGAAGGGATCAGACCCCAAGTTCTCAAAGGTAGGGCTGCGTCCTTTCTGGGGGTGGCAGGCCTCCCTCTGCCAGTTACTCCCCCGACACACATACAGAAACCTCGGCTGCACTCAGGCGCGACTCGGTTTGTCTCCCATGCCCCCAGGATGAAGTGGCAGTGGAGACCACCAACCCTCAGCAGAACAAGATGGACAAGCTGATTGAGATCCTGAACAGCATGCGCAACAACAGCAGTGACGTGGATGCCAAGCTCACCACTTTCATGGAGGAGGCCCAGAACTCAACCAATTCCGAGGAGATGCTGGGCGAGATCGTCCGGACCATCTACCAGAAGGCGGTGTCCGACCGCAGCTTCGCCTTTACCGCCGCCAAGCTCTGCGACAAGATGGCGCTCTTCATGGTGGAGGGGACCAAGTTCCGGAGCCTGCTCCTCAACATGCTTCAGGTAATCCGACACCAACAGCTGTGCCTCCGGCGCCCGCCCCGCCCCCCGGTGGGTTATTACTAGAGAGAAGGCTGCAAATTCTGACCACAGTTGAACTTTTCCCAAGTTCCACCCTTGCCCGATTAATTATAGAAAATAAAAAGGCACTCAAGGGGCAAGGGATGAGTGGCCGGATTTACGTGTGTTTGTGTGAGTGCTCCATGGTTACGATGGACCAATATAATTTTATAGGTGCGTCATGTTTAACCAGCCTTTCCCTCGTTCTATTTCCATGATAAGAGGGCTGGCTCTTGGGTTTACAGGCTATGCTTTGACCTCTCCCCATCCGTCCGAGCAGACATGAACTTGCTGTGGACTTCTCTCTCCTCCTCCTGAAGACCAAACCATCCCCCTCCCCCACCCCTGGCGGTGGTACAGTTGGTTAAAGCTGGTGCTTAGGTGGGTCTGAGCAGAAGACACAAGGGCTTTGAGCAGGAAAGGTTTGGTCCATCTGCCGATGCACTGAGCTTCCTGCAACCACTTGTGGGGCAAAAGGGAAGCATGGCAGTTCAGTACCATCTTGTTCCTTGGTGCTGCCCACTCAGGTCCCTCTGTCCCCAGAGAGCCTAATCCCACTCCTCACTCTTTCCTCCATGGGTGGCAGAGTCCAGAGATGGTTCCACTGGTGTGTGTGTAGTAGGCGTGGTTGTGGGCACTTAGACTGAGCCCAGCAGTTTCGTCTCATGAGTGGGGAGCTGGGGGCTGCTACCTGCTTGTCCATCGTGGGTGGGAGCAGGCAAACTGTTGGCCCCGGCACTGGTGGTGTCACAGATATGTAGCAGGTGGCACAGCCTGGCCCTGGGACTATCCTTGGAGACTCTTGCCGAGAGAAAAGTCACCTCTGCTTTTACTTTGAATGTTAGGCTGGCTGAGATACGAGTTGACTTTCAGTTCAGGGAGAGTGAAACAGCAGTTTGGAAGGTCTGAGAGTGAGAACTGGAAGAGACTACCTGCAGGTCTGTCGTACCCAGGGTGACCATCCAGGAGGTTGTCCAAACCACCACAGGGAGTCAGAGGACCCTACCCTTAATGACACGTAGACACCGGGTGTAAGCCAGGACAGGTAGTCACCCTCGTCTTAACCACCTGGTCCACGGGCAGCTCTCTTTTCCCTAAGAACAGGGAGGAAGGCGCCTTTCCACGTGCCCCACAGGGCTCCATCCCTGCTCTCCTTTCCTCTTCCCCAGGAGCCTGCTCGCTGCAACCCGAGCCCTCGCTGGCCAGCCTGGCCCGCGTCTCTCCAGCCCCAGGCCCTGATCAGGTTTCCATTCCTGGATCACCAGTGCTCCCCTGGTGACGAATTCCCGCATTACCTGAGGGATTTGCACGTTGGGCATGTTCCTCGGGGGCCGGAATGTCCTGGGAAAGTATGGAGGGTGACGGTGGGGAGCAGCCTGTCTGCCACGTACCACCAGGCACGGGGGAGTCAGGAAGGAGATCAGTCTCTGGCCTTGGCTTTTGTCCTTTCTTGAGAAGAGCCAGGATAGGGCAAGATTTCTAGACAATGGCTGCCAGGGCCCATGGCAGACAGACACAGGGCATGGGAGGACGCACCCATTGGGGAAGGGCCACTGACCTCAGGGGCCACCCGAGATCCTGCCCCGGTTGGGCATTTCTGCCAGTGACCTGTGGTTAGAGTGGACTCGCCCACAGTGTCCAGCAGAACATCAATCCTGGCAAATGCCCACCCACAGAAGGGGCTCCGCAACCTCTCCATCAGTCACAAAGTGGCCTGGCTGAGGGCGGCAGGAAGGGAGCCTGTTTGGCTGTGTTGAACCCAGCGAAGCCCTCTTTATAGTCCCCAGCTAATGACTTCTCGAGGAATTACTGTCCTAGAGACACCGTTTGGCAAACACAAGGACAGGGAGAGAGCACTAAACTGAAAGCTGAGGAACAGCTTTCTCGGCCTGATGGACGCCGTCCGTCTGCGGGAGCAGGGCTCCCACAGCTTCCGCTGGGGAGGTGCTCGGCGGCTGGCGCTCCACCGTGGACCTTAGCATTTCGTGCTGCTGGAGTCGAGTCGGGGCCTCAGGGAGGGGCCTGAGTGGCCTCACGAGAGCCTTGGCCTTCTCTCACTCTCCCCAGAACCTGCTGCTGGCATAAGGCAGTCGTGGGTCCCCCTAGTCCTCAGAAACCCACTTACCGCATATTGTGGCTCGATGACAGGTTTGTCAACCCCCCTGATGCCGCCTCGTCTCCAGGGCAAAGGAGAGCCATCGCTCCCACACCTGCTGCTTGCCTGGGTGGAGCATTTGTGGGTCAGGTATTGAGAAATCTTCACGGCTCCTGTAGGGCCCGCTCTCCCCCTCCTCACCACCTGCAACCCCTGGTTTCATGTGAGCTGAGGAGGGAACCTCTTGAAGGGCATAACCAGCTGGGCACTCAGACCTCCTGGGTCGCTGTTCAAGGCCCTTTTGGCACCCATGGAAGGCAGGCTGGAGGTGCTGGCCCGAGGCTAACCTCACAGGCCTCCTTGCCCTGCTGCTCCTCCCTGCAGCTCGGGAAGTGGCAGGCTGGCGTAGGCTTTCACGGCCACGCCACACCCCAGACTCACACAGTACAAGAAAAGAGAGCAGGGCTCATCAAACCCCACTTTCCTTCTTAACACCCACGACGATGTCTCTTTTCACCGGCTTTCATTTTCTGGCAACTCTGATTGGTATCCCTTTGCTGGCAGACAGTCCTGGGCCCAGCCCCAGGGCCCGGCCCTCCCCTTTCTCTCTCCGGGGTTCAGGCTCGGCTTCTTCCACTCCCGGCCCACTGCCACTGGATCCCCAGCCAGCCCCTGGTTCAGTTGGGTGGCCTCTCCTCTGCGATGCCCCTCCTGCAGCCAGGGTTGGCTGCTGCCTCCTCATGCAAGTCCTGAGACCCAGCTTAATGACTGATGCTGGCTGCGAAGAGCCCAGGGTGTGAAGTGCCCTCAGAGTGCAGCTCCCAGCAGCTGTCTTTGGACGTGGCCCTCCTTGGCCAACCGCGTTCGCTGCTGAGGCTTCAGCAGTGGGAACTGGCAGCACAGGAGGAGAGGGGCGGGCTCTGGTAAAGTGGACGGACGTGTGAGGGCTGCCTGTGAGTTGGGGTACAGCCCCCATGAAAGGGAAACAGGACCCCAGGGTGGTCCAAGGACCTTTAACCTTTCCCAACCAGACTTAGCATCGTCATCTCAAGGAACCCAGAAGCACTGCCCTCATGGGCTATGGTGATGCCAGAGACCGTGGGGTCTCAGTGGACCCCTGTCACCCACCCCAGGGCTCAAAATGGCCTTTTTGCCAGAGACGTGCTCCTTTTCTTAGTGGTGTTTTTATAAGTAAAATTTTACTTACCAACATTTCTTAAATATCTGTTGTGAGCCAACCAAGCGTGTCCATTTAATCCGTTTCTCAACTTGAATGTGCGCATGACTCACGTGGGGTTTTGCTGAAATGCAGATTCCGATTCAGTCTGAGTAGAACCCGAAAGTCTGCATTTCTACCAAGCGCCCAGGGGATGGCTGTGCTGCTGGCCCAGCCACAAGGCTTTGGGTGACTGTTGGTAGTTGATGGGTCCGTTTCATAGATGGGCCACCTGAGATGCAGTCTTTTATCAGTGTGATTGTCAGAAGTAGGGATCCAGCCTGGGAACGTCGAGTTCCAGTGACGGGATTTTCTCTGGGCCAGTGGCCCTCAGCCTCGCCACCCACTAAACACGCAAGCGGAGGGCCTTTGGAAACGCGCCAGCAGCGGCCCAGCCCCAGACCGCTGACTCAGACTCTCCGAGGTCGGGCCTGTGCACCCTTTTTTAAAGAGCTCCCCAGATGATTCCCAGGGCAGCAGGCTGGGCGCCACTATCAGGAAGATACCCCAGGATGCCCTGACTACACCACCGTTGTCACTTGTCAACCAGCTGGCCCTGCCTATCACCCCCTAAACAAGTCAAGAAATAGGTACCAGGTACTGCCACTCTTTGCTGAGCAATGTGGATGAGCGGGTGGGAGAACAGCAAAGCAGGAAACACGGAGGCTGAGACAGCCCTTCACCTCGCCCGGCCTCAGTTTCCCCTCTGTGCAGTGAGGAAGTGGGTCTGGACCATCCCAGGGGCCCTTCTTCATCCTCCTCACCGTTACTCTAAGTTCCCAGTGAACCAGGCGGGAGGCCGGAGAGCTGCCCCCGTCTCCCGCTGACCCCGTTTCCCTCTGACCTGCCTCCCCGCCCCCTGCCCTATGCCCTTTTCCTTTTTCTTGGCCTCACATATTTGTTGGAACCGCTATCCCATGTTTTAGGGAAAAGGACTAAATTCAACCCGTTACCAGACTGTGCCAGAGGCCAGGACACCCAGGTAGAGCTGGGGAGGGAATCCCCTTCCCTGCCCAGCCTGCCTCACCCCGCCCCTCTCCACCCAGCACCTAGCTTCTTCACGTTTGCGGAGTCCCACACCACTAGGGTATGCGGCCTGGTGACTTCAGACTCCCAGGACAATGTGGACTACCCGGAGCCCCTAGGTTACAGACATCACCAAAAGTCTGCCTTGCTCTTCACCAGGGAATCGTGGTGTGATAATGGGGCGGAGGGGGCGCTCTGGTTTCACGGCGAGGTGAAGAATGAGCATGCCTCTTTTTATGGGACATTTGGAATGACAGGAATTGGAGGCCTGAGCCCCCTCCGCCCAGCACTGCCCTGTCACCGCCCCAGGCCTTCCACTTGGGCCCGGGGAGTGCTCCTTTGCCGAACTATGCTTGGGCAGTACGAGTTCAAGCCCTCCTCTGCTGAAATGCGTGTGCCCTGTTTAGCCAAGAGGTGTCTGCATCCGAACTATGCAGAGCAAAGTATTATTAGAGCAGGCATCAGTGTGTCTGTAACTGAACCCAACTCTCCCTAGCAACCGTTGCCAACAACACCTCTAACAGAAGGATGCAATACCTTTTTTTGAAAAAAAAAAAAAAAAAAAAAAAGCCCTCATCTCAACTGAGTTGTAAACATAGCAGGACT